AACAGCACTTTATGGTTTATAATTCAAGATGTTTGCAACATAAAATCATGATAAGGCATGTAACTACATTTAGAAAATCCCACACATTTGCATGCATGTAGACACATTCATCCCAGACGCCTGCATTCATCTATACTCTTGACTTTCCTGTTCTGGATCATTTAGATATATCTGGTATTGTGCCTGTCACAATAGAGGCACTTTGCACTCCAATCAGAGAGGATATCTGTGTGCTTTCTCTCTCTCGTTCACTACCCGCCCCCAGCTTGTGCAGTCTTCTGCAGCTTTGGCACTTGAACAGAGGCATGCAGCGGCTGCTATTAGAGCGTGGGCAGCGTGGAGACACCCGCGTCGTCAGGGTCACACACTCCTCCCACCCACACACATGCCGAGAACAAGAGCACACAGAACACACTGTGCCAGGACAAACACCACACTGCCTGTTGGTAAACACAACCATTTTTTTCCACACTCTGAATTTGATGCCACAAGCTAACCTGCAGCCCAGCTCAGAAGGTTAGAATGTTGCAGTTGTTGGAAACGTTACCTAGAAAAGGAACATAAACACCAACTTAGTTTATATTATATACTCAACAAAAAACAATCGTCCTCTCACATTCAACTGCTTTTATTTCCAAAAATTTCTTGACAAGTGTAAATATTTGTATTAACATAAAAAGTATTAACAACTGAGACATAAACTGAACAAGATTCACAGACATTAGAAATGGAATTATCAGTCCCTGAACAAAGGGGTGGGGTTGGTGCCAATATTAAAAGTAACAGTCAGTATCTGGTGTATCCACGAGATGCTTTAAGTACTACAGTGCATCTCATCCTCATGGACTGCACCAGATTTGTCAGTTCTTACTGTGAGATGTTACTCCACTCTTCCACTGAGGCATTTGCAAGCTCTCGATCACGTCTGGGGGGACACACATGATTACTTGTAATTTTCCACTGCAACGACAATCAGCTGTCCTTCCTGTCTCCCTGTAGCACTGTCTTAGACGTCTTACATTACAGACATTGCACTTTATTGCTCTGAACACATCTGTAGTCCTCATGCCTCTCTACAGCAGGTCTATGGCATGTTCACGCAGGTGATCAGGAACCCTGGGCGTCTTTCTTTGGTCTCTTTAGTGTCCTAAGTTATTGTAACTGTGACCTTAATTAACTACCGCCTGTACACTGTTAGTGTCTTAAGGACTGTTCCACAGGTGCATGTGCAATAACTATTTCTGGTTCATTGAACAAGCATGTTAAAAAATATTGTTTAAACCCTTTCCAATAAACATCTGTAAAGCATATTTGGATTTGGTCAGTGGCTTATAATAAGTCATTTTGACATTTTTCAGATATTTATTAACAAACCATAACTAAGAATTCTTATTATAAATCATTGGAAGTAAGGAAGTAAGTTAGGGTTTTTAAATCTACCCTCATGTGTTTGTTTATTTATTTATTATGTAATTAGTCTGAACTGAAAGTTTCTACTTTTAAGTAAAGAAAAATAAATTACAGCAGCAAAAAAAAAACATTATTCAGCCTTACAGTTTATTACGAATAATTCAAGTCGATCTTTGAAGCGCTCTGTGATGGCAATTAAACTCTTTCAATTCTTATCATTGTTAATAAAATTCTGTACAATGTCATTATCAGTCATAGCCATAATGCAGCATGACACTCAGCATTTTGGAGAAAAGTGACACTAATGCTGCAGCATGTCACAAAGGTTGTAATTATAGTTGGAGATATTTAAAATACAGTCTGCTGAAAATGGACGTTTCTTTTATTGCTGAGAATATATAGTATATAAATGCACTATATATTTTTAAAAGCCTTGACAACAGAAGAACGTATTGAAATCATTCTCATGGCTGGATCGGGAAATTGTTCCAAAGGTTGCGATGGACTTTAACAGGAAACATGGCAAGCACATCACACATGACACTGTTGCCAAACTTATTAATAAATTAAAAAATACTGGAAGTGTTACAGACCAACCGAGAAGTGAACGTCCACAAACATCCACTGACGAAGGCACGACCGACATCGTATTGCTAAACATAGTACCCAATGTTTTGACTTTGAGACACGCTGTATATTAGATTTTTGCCTCAAACTGTTATTACTATGAGTGTTTTTAGAACATGGCAGACATTTTGTATTTATAAAATTACAGGTCTTAGAATCTATTGATAACTTACTGAACTTTCCAATAATGTTCTCTGTTAAATGGGTGTCCACTACTTCTTAAAATCCACTTATTTTAACAGCACCAAAATTTCACTGACATGACCCTTCTTATATTAAAGTTGGAAACTGTCAGTATTAAAGGCTAATCTTATTTGGGCATAAATTGGGCAGGTCTCAATGGAAGATCCCATCTGGATGGTCTAGTGGTTAGCAGGTTCATCCCCTCACCGCCATCCTGCCCTCAGTTGCTTTTGGACTTGAAAGAAAGAGTGACAGGATGGATAAATGATGACGGACTCTGCCTCTTTCTCTCCTGCAGGAATGTGCACCACCCACAGAGAGACCTGCAGGTCTGTGGGAGCACAGCAGGAGCTGGCAAGCTGGACGCCGGCCTTTCGATTAGAAACACATGTCCATCTTCTCATTTGTCCTGCTGTCCTTCTCTTTTCACTCACTCCTCTGCCTGTGTCCTCCTCCCTTTCCATTAGAATATCTGTTGTTCCATGACCCAGAGTTAATAAACAGCTTGGTTAGAGCTGTCAGTTTGGGTAAATGTTTTCAGAACACTAAGCAACAGACACATACCCACACAAACAAAATCACATGTACACCAGCCTACATACTCAAAGGCAAACCACAGAGTTACTGAATATCAAGTTTTCTTTGCGTTGCCCTCTCGCTTGTAGGTCGGCCCTCAGAACAGGAAAAAATCTCTTTAGCTGTTTAGGGAAATGCAATTCAGTATGGTCACGCCAATTCACCATGCATGCCTGTGTGTGTTTCTGTAGTCATGGGGAACAAATGGGTTTACAACTAGTATTTCTTTGAACTCTTATCAGTGGAGTCAAATAGGGTGGAAACTTTTGAACTTGTAAAATGATATTGACAAATGCACTAAAAAGTGTGGTTATATTTGAACATTTATGCGTGCACAAATAAACCATAGAAGCAAAGAGATGCTTTTAAATCCATAGATACAGTGGTGTGAAAAAGTGTTTGCCCCCTTCCTCATTTCCTGTTCCTTCGCATGTTTGTCACACTTAAGTGTTTCGGAACATCAAACCAATTTAAACAATAGTCAAGGACAACACAAGTAAATACAAAATGCAATTTGTAAATGAAGGTGTTTATTATTAAAGGTGAAAAAAAATCCAAACCATCATGGCCCTGTGTGAAAAAGTGATTGCCCCCTAAACCTAATAACTGGTTGGGCCACCCTTAGCAGCAACAACTGCAACCAAGCGTTTGCGATAACGTGCAATGAGGCTTTTACAGCGTACTGGAGGAATTTTGGCCCACTCATCTTTGCAGAATTGTCCTAATTCAGTTACAATAGAGGGTTTTCGAGCATGAACAGACTTTTTAAGGACATACCACAACATCTCAATAGGATTCAGGTCAGGACTTTGGCTAGGCCACTCCAAAGTCTTCATTTTGTTTTTCTTCAGCCATTCGGTGGTGGACTTGCTGGTGTGTTTAGGATCATTGTCGTGCTGCAGAACCCAAGTTCGAGTACATGAACAGATGGTCGGACATTCTCCTTCAGGATCTCTTGGTAGACAGCAGAATTCATAGTTCCTTTTATCACGGCAAGTCTTCCAGGTCCTGAAGCAGCAAAACAGCCCCAGACCATCACACTACCACCACCATATTTTACTGTTGGTATAATGTTCTTTTTATGAAATGCAGTGTTCCTTCTACGCCAGATATACTTGGACACACACCTTCCAAAGAGTTCCACTTTTGTCTCATCGGTCCACAGAATGTTGTCCCAAAAGTCTTGGGGATCATCAAGATGTGTTGTGGAGAAATTGAGACGAGCTTTGATGTTCTTTTTGCTCAGCAGTGGTTTTCTCCTTGGAACTCTGCCATGCAGGCCATTTTTGCCCAGTCTTTTCCTGATGGTGGAGGCATGAACGCTGACCTTAACTGAGGCAAGTGAGGCCTGCAGTTCTTTGGACGTTGTTGTGGGGTCTTTTGTGACCTCTTGGATGAGTCGTCGCTGCGCTCTTGGGGTAATTTTGGGCGGCCGGCCACTCCTGGGAAGGTTCACCACTGTTCCATGTCTTCGCCATTTGTGGCTCTCACTGTGGTTCGCTGGATTCCCAAAGCTTTGGAAATGGCTTTATAACCCTTTCCAGACTGATAGATCTCAATTACTTTCTTTCTCAATTGTTCCTGAATTTCTTTGGGTCTCGGCATGATGTGTAGCTTTTAAGGATCTTCTGGTGGACCTTACTGTGTCAAGCAGCTCCTATTTAAGTGATGCCTTGATTGTGAACAGGTGTGGCAATAATCAGGCCTGGGTGTGGCTAGAGAAATTGAACTCAGGTGTGGACAACCACAGTTATAGTATGTTTTAACAAGGGGGGCAATCACTTTTTCACACAGGGCCATGATGGTTTGGATTTTTTTTCACCTTTAATAATAAACACCTTCATTTACAAATTGCATTTTGTGTTTACTTGTGTTGTCCTTGACTATTGTTTAAATTGGTTTGATGTTCCGAAACACTTAAGTGTGACAAACATGCAAAGGAACAGGAAATGAGGAAGGGGGCAAACACTTTTTCACACCACTGTATGTGGAAATATATAGAATAAAGAGGTTCCCTTCACCCCCTCTTTCATACAGTATGCTCCCGTTATGGGGTTGCGACAGTGGATCACCCATCAACATATTGATTCTGGCACAAGTTTTATGCCTGATGCCCTTCCTGATGCAACCCTCCCCATTTTCCAGGCTTGGGACCAGCAGTAAAAGTGCACTGACTCGTGCAATGTTCCAGTGTTTGGGGTTGGTTCCCTGACCAGGAATCAAACCCGGGCCACAGTGATGAGACCACCGCATGCTAGCCACTTGTCCATCGGGGAACCAAACGTATAGAATAATGTGATGTGGGGAAAAAAAGAAAACAGAAATCTAAATGTTGTGACGGCATGGTGTTGTCATGGGTAGCATTGCCTGGATAAAGTGGTTACTGAAGTTCAATAAAATAATAATAATAATAATAATAATAATAATAATAATAATAATAATAATAATAATAATAATAATGTCAGCACGTTCGCCTCACACTTCCAGGGCCCGGGGTTCGAGTCCCGCCTGGGCCATGTGTGTGCGGAGTTTGCATGTTCTCCTTGTGCTGCGGGGGTTTCCTCTGGGTACTCCAGTTTCCTCCCCCAATCCAAAGACATGCATGGTAGGCTGATTGGCGTGTCTAAATTGTCCGTAGTGTATGAATGGGTGTGTGAGTGTGTATGTATGTAATTGTGCTCTGCGATGGATTGGCACCCTGTCCAGGGTGTACCCAGCCCTGTGCCCGATGCTTCCTGGGATAGGCTCCAGGATCCCCGCAACCCTCAAAAGGATTAAGCAGTTCAAGATGAATGGATGGATAATAATAATAATGTGCAACTGTGGATGTTTTCATCAAAATGATCGACCAATAAGGAACAGATGGAAAGTTTGATTTATCCAGACAGGACTGATATGGTTAATAGTTTTACAATATAGTTATTTGAATTCCACTATAATACTGTTATTTGCATATTGCTACAAAACCTGGTTTGGTGAGGTTTTTATGGTATGTGTGTGTGTGAAGTGCATGTGTACAGTACATGTGTGTGCTTACTTTTCCTAGGTTCGTGTCATGGTTTAGTTCATTAAGTACAATAGTGGAGGCAGACTAGAAAAACACTGAGATTTATTAAATTCTATGCCACTGAAACACAGCCGTCCTCCTCGCCATCATTACGCCTCCTCACCCACCGACTGGATACATTCTGACTTGCCAGCATCCCTGTGTGTGTGTGTGTGTGTGTGTGTGTGTGTGTGTGTGTGTGTGTGTGTGTGTGTGTGTGTGTGTGTGTGTGTGTGTGTGTGTGTGTGTGTGAAATTTCCCTGGGTTATATCCAGTGTCTGTAAGTGAGTCCAATATCAAAGATCAAATGTGCAGATTTAAAACGCATGACTGAGAATCAGCAGTTAAGGTTCAGGGCATCTTGACTAACAAAATAAATGTGGGGAAAGCCAGGCAGAGAGTGCTCGTAAAATAGCCTCGGTTATTTCTCTGGGCGCCGAAAACACAGCGAAACCCCCTGAGTTATTTGGCCTCTCGGCTTTATGACACTGTTGGTTGTTATTTCAGAGTTAGCTCTTTTCCCACAGTGCTGGGAAAGGACCTTAAAGCAAATCTTTGACTTTTTCATGCCATCAGCTGATTCTCTCTCTCTCTCTCTCTCTCTCTCTCTCTCTCTCTCTCTCTCTCTCTGTCTCTCTCTCTCTCTCTCATTATCCCATTGTTTGCACTTGGCTGGAAAAGAGAAGGGGAGAGTTGCTTGTGCTAACATTTTCTGCATGCTGTAAATGCTGTGATCTGCTCTGCTTCTCTGGCTGTCTCGCTTCCAACAACAGAAGTGCTTGTGCGCAGGTCTTATCAGCACAGGGCCGTGTGAGTCCATGTGTGAATGTGTGTCTGGGTAATATGAATGTGATGACAGGGCTGCAGGTGTAGACCCACGCAGTCCAGGCAGGTGAACGAGAGAGGTTGTCTCACTCTCATCCCACACACACACACACACACACAAACACACACACACACACACACACACACACACACACACACACACACACACACACACATATGTGATTAGAATACTCTTATCTGACAGCCCTGACCAAAGTCACCCACGTCCTCAATTCTCTTCTCTTCATTTCTCTGCTCTTCTCAAACATCCAATTTTCTTCATTTCTCAAATATCATCTTCTCCTCATTTCTCTTCTCTTCTCAAACATCCGCTTCTCTTCATTTTTCAAATATCATCTTCTCTTCTTTTCTTTTTTGTGCTATTCCCTGTTGTCCTTTAAAGCTACATAAGTAAGCTATAAACATAATAACATCACCTTCATTACACCTCCTCATTAGTAAACCAATTTTGAAAAATAATCCTGAAAAATGCATGAACAGGTCTTAATGTTATGCATAGGTGCTATGCTCCATGTTGCTGTTGCTTGATACATGTTTCGACATGTTTCATTATTGCATATTTGCATATCATCCAAAATAATATAGGATGAATGGTTATTGTTGTTGTTTTTTAACACTCTAGTTCTGTATTGTTTGAGTTTCTTTCTGAGGCGTTGAATATGCTGAATGTTTTCTCTGCCAGGCTGAGGTACTTGCAGAGGTGAGCGTATCGTCGTTTAGCCTCAAGGCTGGATTAGTCACTGAAGTTGACTGCACAAAGACCACATAAAGGCTCTCCTGCATCTATCAGCACTCTTTGCCAGATCATATCTTTACTGAAAGTTTTGCTTGCTCAAAATGAGTTTTTCTGGTTGCTGGGGAAACAAAATCAGTTTAACAAAAGCTCATAGGACTTTGTTCTGAAAAAAAAAATTAGCACTGAGGCATTGAAAGTGTTCCAGGAACACATATTAGTGTCTTTTACAGCCTACACTGTTGGGTAAAGGTGTGTGAAATGAGGACACAGAAACAGAGAGAAAGAAAACAAATGTGTGCTTGAGAGTTGACCTTTTCTGAAATACAATTGTTTTGAATGCTTGTCAAATTTCGAGTTGTGAACTGGTCATACTTGACTTAAAAGGTCTTGCCCCTAGATATGCACTAACACAAGCATAGAAATCAAACAACATATTCATTTTGAAGATATCACTGTTGGCCGTCAAAACATGGGACTATTAAAATGTTTAAGTTATTTACAATCATGATTACGGTGCTTATTTTCTCAACAGTATCAAGCTCTGGGCTTTGAAGGTGTGCCAGAGAGTTTGTTTTGATGTTGGAGGTTCGGATGGAACACATGCCAAAAGTGGAGTCTGAGCATCTCAGCAGAGAGAAGGGAGGGGGGCAGCAGGGGCTGGAATGAATACGGGAAAAGAGAAAAGAAACACGATGGGAATCAAACTTCAAAAAGGGGTTTGCTTTTCCATCCCTGCTCTGCAGGCTCTTTGGGGTTGTGTGGATACCCGAGGTGTAACATTTCCTTTTTGTTCAATCCACTGACGACCATCACTGCTGAGGTCATCACCTCTCCATCAACCTACTGACGATGACCTTTAGCAACCCCGCTCTTTCCTCTCACTCTACACACCAGCTGACTGATGGTTTTTTCCCACTTCTTTTCCTCTCTCTCTCTTTTTCTTTCTCCAGCCCCCACAGAGCCACTGCTGTGTAAGTTTGCAGATGGGGGACAGAAGAAGCGACAGAGCCAGAGCAAGTATCCGCAGAATGGCAGACCGTGGCCTCGGGAAGGAGAGGTGAGTTTCCCTGTCCTCATCATATGTCCCTATGCATATGTTCTGTTTGAGTCAACATGACCACTTTCACATTTCATTTAAAGTGAAGCAATATTACATTTTTAACACGATGAAACTTGGCTGTCTCTGTTTCACTGTGCAAATTACCGTTAAAATATTAATGATTTAGATTATCTTTCAGCACATTTTGGCCTGAGAATGAAAAAAAAAATTTAACTGAACTTTTAATCAAAACCTGCTCATATCAAAAAGTGCACAAGTTTTAACAAGCATTGGTATCTTATATGAATTAAGTTTTAAGAAAAAGTACAAGTGAAAACCCCAGCCTTTACCTAAACCCTAACCTTATCCCTAAACCACACCCTAAGACACAGCAAATCCCTTTCCCTTAACCATGTTGACCCTCTTTCATTTGTAAGTTAATTTGTGTAAGAGGGATATGTCAAATAATCAAATGTACAGTGGTTAGCATGTTTGCTTCACACCTCTGGGGTTGGTGGTTTGATTCCTGCCTCTGCCTGTCTGCTTGAAGTTTGCATGTTCTCATGCTTTGAAGGTTTTCTCCAGTTTCCTAACCTAGTCCAAAGACATTTTTTGTAGGCTGACTGGCATTTACAAAGTGGGTGTAGTGTGTGAATGGGTGTGAGTGTTTGTGTGATTGTGTCCTGCGATGGGTATGGCACCCCATCCAGGATGTTCCCTGCCTTGTGCCCCGAGTCCCCCAGGATAGGCTCCAGTCTCCCCGGCAACCCTGTGTAGGATAAGTGGTATTGAAAATGAATGGATGGATGGATGGATGGAATATCTCTCCTATGCTGAAACTTGTGGACACACCTGAATTAGAAAGATCTTTCAGCATATGAAAGGCCTTTCATTTCCATATCCACTGCTAATTACTAATGTAAAGATACTATCCTGTATATTTAATATTTTAAAAGAGACTGTAGAACTGCATGACTGTAAAATGAAAACATGGCTTTAGTCAGTGGGATATTCTTGGATAAGTTGTGAAAAGAGGATGAGGGTTAACCCCTGAACACAAACACCAAAAGGCATTGGTTTGACAAGGCAAGACGAGCTGTGAGACAAAAGGGCCTGTGTGGAGAGCAGCAGCAGAATCAGTGAGATGAGAGGCGCCTGCTGCTAAGCATGCCCTCTGATTCTGCTTGGGGGTAGAGGAGAGGAGAGGCGAGGAGAGAGGGATACGAGGAGTGCCGAGGAGGGGGCACTGCTTTGACTGACAGGCACATCTGGCCCTGTTTAAGCTCCCTACCTCCCTCTCAGTCTTTTAATCTTTCCTCAGTTCTTTTCTGAGCTGTGAAGAGAGGCGATGTGGCAGCAGAGCGGGAAGCGCTGGCATATTCTGGGCAGCTCAGCCACTGGCATGATGGCTCAAGGACACATGCCAAATGCCAGTCTAGCCCGCAACCACTGTGAGCTCCATTACCCGAATCTGGAATCGGCCTGCAGTTTGCCTAGACCGACTCAGACAGGTGTCTGTGTTTGTACAGGAGCTATACACTCTAACACCCCAGGGGTCCTCAGAGAGCAAAGAGGAATTACAGTATAGTACACACATGGGTTGTTCCAG